CTAGTGGGGAACCTCAACTTTTACCTCCCAGAGCTCGATAAATCTGACCACAAAATAAGTAAGAAATAAGTTAAGGATGTGAAAAAAAATCATAGGAAAGTTAGATATGACAGATATTTTGAGAAAATTTAATAGGAATAAGAAGTATACTTCTTTTCAACTGTACATGACAGTTTCACCAAAAATAACCATGTAATAAGGCATAAATACCTCACAACCAAATGCAGAAAAGCAAGAATATTGAATGAACTCTTTTTAGACTATCATACAATGAAGGTTACGTTTAATAAAGATCATAGAAGCATATACTAAAAATTAATTGGAAGCTAAATAATATAATCCTAAAGAATGAGCAGATTAAAGAACGAATCATAGAATTAAAGAGAATGACAAAAATAAGACAACATCCCGTAATTTGTAGGATACAGCAGAATAGGTACTTAGGGGGAAAATTATCTTTCTAAATGCATACATCAATAAAATAGAGTAGATCAATGAAGTGGACAAAAATAAGAAAAAAGACCAAATTAAAAATCCCCAATGGAAATGGAAATCCTGAAAATCAAAGGAGAGATTAATAAAATTAAAAGTAAAAAAAGAATAAATAAAACTAGGGCCTGTTTTTATTAATAAAAATAGAAAAATTACTGGTTAATTTAATCAGAAAAGAAGAGAAGAAAATAAAATTAGCATCAATAATGAAAAAGTAAACGCACTACCAATGAAGATGAAATTAAAGCAATTATTAGAAATTATTCTACCCAATTATATGCCAGTAAAACTGGAAATTTAAGTGAAAAGCACAATATTTGCCAAAAAAAATTAAACTGCCTCAATTATTAAAATATAATACCTAAATAACACAATCTCAAAGGAAGAAGTTAACAGGCCATCAATAAGGGAAAAAATCCCCAGGGCCATATGTATTTACAAGTGAATTCTATCAAATATTTAAGAAATAATTAATCTCAACACATTATACAATATTTGAAAAAGTTATAAAGGAGTCCTACCAAACTCCTTTTGTGACACAAATATGGCTTTGATAACTGAATCAGAGAGAGTAAAAACAGAGAAAGAAAGCTATAGACAAATTTCCCTAGTGTATATAGATACAGAAATTTTAATTGAAATCCTATGAAAGAGATTACAGCAACATATCACTATGATTGGGTGGAATTTATACCAGAAGTGCAGGGCTGGTTCAATATTAGGAAAACAATCAGTATAATTGACTACATCAATAACCAGAACAGTAAAAATCACATAATTATATCAATAGATATAGAAAAAAGCCTTTCATGAAATATAACCACTACTATTAAAGAAACTAGAAAGCATAGGAATCAATGGAACTTTTCTTAAAATGACAAGTAGTATCTATCAAAAACTAAGAGCAAGAATTGTAATAGAAATAAATTTGAAGCCTTCCCAATAAGATTAGTAGTGAAACAAATATATCCATTACCACCATTGTTATTCAATGTTGTACTAGAAATGCGAGCTATAGCAATGTCAAGAAAAAGAAGTGGAAGGAATAAACACAGGCAGTGAGGAAATTGCACTCTTTGCAGATGATATGATGGTATACTTAGAGAATTCTAGATAATCAACTGAAATAACTAAAAAAAAAAAAACAACCTAGTTGAAACAAGAACAACTTCAGCAAAGTTGCAGGACATAAAATAAACCCACATAAATCAGCATTTCTATATACTACCAACAAAATTCAGCAACAAGAGATAGAGAAAGAAATTCCATTTAAAATAATTGCAGACAATACAAAATACTTAGGGATCTACCTGCCAAGAATGTTGCTCATCCTTTGGTTTTGAAGAGGACCAATGACATCATGAGGGCGATGACTTGCACATGAATTGAATTTAAGTGAGGCTGAGTTGTTCTGAGTTGCAAAGCTGTCAGCCTCATTCTCTCTTCCAGAGTCATTGAAGTTCAGTAGCAACACAAAAGTCAAGAGGACTGGTGACGGCCAAAGATGTAGTGGGTGACCTTGGCCAAGACAAACCCTGGGAATATATGAACAGTTACAAAACACTTTTCTCACAAATAAAGACAGTTTTAAACAACTGTAGAAATAGAGATACCTTAGTGGGTTGAGCACAGGTAGACTCATCTTCATGAGTTTAATTCTGGTCTCAGACAATGGCTATGTGCCCTAGGTAAGTCATTTAACCCTATTTATCTTAGTTCATCATCTGCAAAATGAGTTGGAGAAGGGAGTAACAAAACACTCCAGTACCTTTATCGAGAAAACTCCAAATGGGTTCACATAGAGTCAGTTGTGACTGAACAAGTGGTACACAGTATAGGCTAAGCCAATATAATAAAAATGACAATTCTACCTAAGTTAATTTACTTATTTAATGCCATACAAATGAAACTACAAAATAATTATTTTATAGAACTAGAAAAAAGTAGTAACAGAATTCATCTGGAATAATAAAAGATCAAAGATATCATGGGAATCAATGAAAAAACTATGAAGGAAGGCAGCCTAGCTGTACCAGATTTCAAACTATATTACAAAGTGATAATGATGAAAAAAAGCTGGCACTGGCTAAGAAATAGGGTGGTAGATCAGTGGAATAGATTAAGTATACAATACATAGTAGTAAATTACCAGAGTAATCCAGTGCTTGATAAACCCAAAGATATAACTTTTGGGGTATGACAAAAGAAATACTGGGAAAACTGGAAAGCAGTGTGGCAGAAACTAGGTATAGACCAACATCTTACTCTGTATACCAAGATAAGCTCAAAATGGATAAATGAGTTAGACATAAAGGTGATAACATAAGTAAATTAGAGGTGCATGGAGAAATTTCAGTTCCATGGATAAGGAAAGAGGTTATGACCACACAAAAGATAGAAATGATCACTGGAAATAAATTAGATAATTTTGATTACATGATATTAAAAAAAGCTTTTGCACAATCAAAACGAAAGTGGCCAAAATTAGAAGGGAAAAAGGAAACTAAGGGGGAAAGGGCTTTTGAAATAAGTTTCTCTGATAAAAGCCTTATTTCTATATCTAAGGAATTGAACCAACTTATAAAAAGTAAGAGCCATTACCCAGTTGATGAATGGTTAAAATATATGAACAGTATGTTTTTAGAAGATGAAATCAAATCTATCCGTAGTCAAATGAAAAAATGCTCTAAATCATTATTGATTAGGGAATAGAAATTAAAATAACTGAGTTACCACCTCACACTATCAGATTGGCTAACACGACAAAAAGGGAAAATGACAAATGCTGTAGAGGATATGGAAAAATTAGGACACTAATGCACTGTTGGTGGAGTTTTGAACTAGTCCAACCATTTTGGAGGATAATTGGGAACTATGCCCAAAGGGCTACAAAACAATGTACCTTTTGACCCAGCAGTACTGTTACTAGTTCTGTATCCCAAAGAGATCAAAGAAAAGTGAAAAAGATCTATGTATTTCTACTCTTTTTGTGGTGACAAAGAACTGGAAATTGAGGGGTTGCCCATCTATGGGGATGCCTAAACAAGTTGTAATACATGATTGTGATGGAATACTGTTGTGCTATAAAAAATAACAAGCAAGAGGGTTTCAGAAAAATTTGGGAAGACATATAAACTCATGCAAATTAAAGTGAGCAGAACTAGGAGAATATTGTAACAGCAATGTTATAATGATGATTAACTGTGGAACCCTTAGTTACTCTAATCAAGGCAATAATCCAAGACAATTTCTATGATGAAAAATCCACCTCCAGAGAGAGATCTGAAGAACTCTGAACACAGATTGAAGCATACTTTTTAAACCTTCTTCATTTTTCTTTTTTTGTCTGTGTTTTCTTTTCAATATGGCTCATGAGGAAATATGTTTTCTATAACTTCACATGTATAATCAAATTGTTTGCCTTTTCAAGGAAGTACAAAGCATAGGAAGGAGAGAGGGAATTTGGGACTCATTTTTTTAAAATGAATGTTAATTTTTCTATGTAATTGGGGAATACTTAAATAAATAAATAAATAAAAGTATTTTAAAATTGTTACTGTGTAAAAATAACTTATATTAATGAGATTTTTTTTAAAAAAGTGAATCTTAAAAAAATTTTTAAAAATTTAAAAAGAATTAAAAAAAGTGAATCTTCAGGTCTACTTTTAAAAAATCTTTGTTTTTCACTTAAACAATGTGATAATGTATTAGTTATTTGTATATGTGTCTTATCTGATATACTATGTCGCAACCTCTTTAAAAGTAAGGTCTATGCTATTTTTCATATTTATCTTCCCAAGGCACATATTGGGTACTCAATGAACTTTAGTTGAATTGAATCATTAAGCACGCAGTACACAAGATTTCAATGAAAGATGTTTACTTTGGACACTAGTGGTGCTAAGTTCAATACAAATAATTATAGATATTTATCAATGTAATCAGAGAGCTGAATTTTCTATGAGATCCAGAAAAAAAGCTCTCCAATAAAGAGGAGCTAATTTTCTAATTTGTATGCTCATGAATATGATTATGTATTCTCAATGATGTCTTTTTTTGCTATGTAATCAATTATTACCTGAACTTTTCATTTTTTTGGTGAGAATTATTTTTATTTTCAATTTCATGTTTTCTCCTTCCCTCTGTTGCCTTTTCTACAAATTGAGAAGGTAAGAAATCTGAGACCCATTATAAACATAAAATTATACAAAATATGTTTCCTTATTCACTATGTTATGGAGGGGGAGAAACAAGAAAAATAAAGAAGGGAATGAAAAGATGCTTCAGTCTCCAACTTGAGTCCATCATTTCTCTGTCTGGAGGTGGAACATAATGAAACATACATCTTTTGAAATTGTCATAAATTATTGGTCATTCACATTTGATTATCATTACACTGTTGCTTTTGCTATGTGTATTGTTCTGTTTCTGCTCACTTGACTTTGCATCAGTTCATACATCTACTGAGTTTCTGTCTTTCAGCTATCTATTTTTCTTTTGTTTTCTAGGCTCAACCAACTGTCCTGGAAGACAAAAGAACCCTTCAAGTTGAGTCGCCAAAAGAAGAAAAGCCAAGTACCAAGTGTGATTCTCCAGATGTAAGATTAATTTATATAGTGTAACCAGAAATAATGCATAAATCTATTTTAATTAAATGCATATGCCCAAATAACTTTCCATTTGTAGCCATGTAGAAAAATCTAAGCATTTTTTCTACTTGGGTTCCAAAAAGCAAATGTTTTTATGGTTTAAAATATGTTGGTGTTTCCATCAGGAATTAGTAAGCAGAGTTTACAAAGCTTTTGTAGAATAATCTAGTCCAAGAGATGTAACTTGATGATTAGCAGGTTCAGCAATCTGTTCCCACAGAGATTTAGTTGGAATGCTGCAGATGTGCAATGAAGGGCCAAGCTTAGTTATGTAATACTCCCAGCAGGTAGTGGGCAGAACTCCATGTCAGAACTACTTCATTGGAAAGGAAAGGAAGAAGATTAACTTGAAATGATAACAGGAGTGAATT